TATTTTTTTGTGCTGAAAGAAAATTAAATTTGATTACAAATATTATTATATTTTACTATACACAATTATACTTTTTAATACTGATGTATAAATAAGTGAGTAAATGTATGAATAAAAAAAATAGGCAAGAATGTTTTACAGAATTGAACGTGTTCTGATTTTCACAAATGTACGTGAAAAAATAATTTATAAGACAGGCTATTGAGGGGTYATAAACTCATAACCAACCAGTACAAACTTCAGTAGTGTTTGATGTTTATGTCTAGTAGGTACATACACTGTATATTCAGCTGTACATTATCGGTATTTTATTGAGAATTTCAAAAAAAAAATCAAAATATGGAAATTTTAAAATTATGTCCAACCCATGAATTTTAATTATACTAATGCAGCAATTAAAAGAATACCCATCAACATACTTTAAATTTTGAATAGTATGCTTAATTGAATTTACTTCAAATGTTATATTAGTTTATAATATTAAAATTCTAAAATGTGTCAATGAAAGTATGACATATAAAATGCCAAGGGGTACCTAATTTGTCATATTAAAAATACCTACCTGTTTATACAAGACTTTTTGACAGGGAAGGAAATTCATAGCGAACAGAGCACCATTTCTTATAATCCATGTGTGGTGTCTGGCCAATGTTTGATTATATGCTTCTTGAGCACAGTGTTTAGTGCTATCATCAGGTTGAAGGTGAATAAGTTTAGACATGAATAGAATAATGAATTCTGAAATAAAAGTTAAAACAGGTGTAATAATCAAAATTTAAGTGCTTATAGAACGCCGATTGGATGTTTTACCAAGACCGCGATGCAATCTCAACAATGTTATGGAGCCAGAACGACCAGAGAACACCAACTCCTTGGAAATCTCATGGATTATCATAGTCTGAACAGTGGAAAAGTTTTGCTCATCTTCAGTTACTAGCTGTTTAAGGAGTCCGATCTTATTCTCAAGATCGCTGACCACGAAACCGAACAAGCCACCCAGTTGGGAACAGAATCTGCAAGTGCAACATAAAAGGCATGAGTACGAGTAGTGTCGTTATTGTGTATCGTTAACAATATTTTAAACGTTATCGATGGAACGCGTTGAAAATAATAATTACTTGCAGAGTTCTTGATAGGCCAACGCATAGTTCTTCACGTCCACGTCATCATCTTCGATCAGAGCTTCTTGGAAAGCACTATGAACGGCCTCCACGCTGAACATCTCAACATCAATTTTAATTACTTTTATGATATTTAAAGGACAGTGATCACCGGTGACCGTGCTAATCGCGGCAACGGTACACTATCACTCCAATAAAATATATTGCACTTTAATTTCAAATGATGAGGATCGGCTGCGGTGTAACGACTACTAACGAGTAATAATAACGCTCAAAACGGTTTTAAACAACGAGCAAGCACTGACGATTGTGCACGTACCAAAGACTACAGTAGACTTTTATAGAAATTAGAGACTCGAGACGYGCGTTTTTGCGATAACTTATCGCCGATAAGACGTTTTACACTTAAYAATATTAATTACCGACTTTTAATCGCCAATTCGCCAATCAGTTCACTTTAAAACTCCATCATTGATGTTATTGAGTACGTAAAATTACTAAAATTACAGTGAAGTCGGCGTACAGAAGTTGTTCGTGCGAGTCCCCTCCCCTCCCTCACCACTCGCCCGCAGACAAAAACATAATATTATTGTTATTATTATTTTTTTTTTGTCAGACAACGGGGCAAGCGTCTTATCATCAGATAAGACCCTGACACGCCACGACGATGATAGTATTGTACTTTGATACCCATCTTATACTTATCATTTATTAATTAATTATATTGTAAAACAGTCATCATGGTATCCAACGTTATGTTATAAATAATTATAATATCATTATTCATGATCTGGACATTATGTTGTTGTATTCCGCAGTGGCGTATTTAGGAGGGGGGGGGCGACAGGGGGCAATTGCCCCGGGGCGCCAAATTCTGAGTCACTTAAGGGTGCGCCGTCGCTGGAGGTTGAATTGTTTTCAAAGTGAAGTTTTAAATTACATTTTTAAATAATTAAAAAACATTACAGAAAAGCGATGCATTTAGAATAAACACTTTTACTGYTATTATATTAGATTCGTTACTTATAGAACTAAACAAAAGAAAGAATGCATAATATGATACATACAGTTAATATTAGATTTGGTTTTTTATTTAATCTAACTAAATTGCCACTATCCAAGGTAAGAGAACAAGCTACACAATTACAAAAAGAATATCCAGAGGACCTTGGTTTATCATTCTCTAATGAATGTATATACTTTCGTGGTAATTYATCTGAGTTACAAGAGAATAATTTGCCAATACTGTTTTAGATTTGAATAAAATAGTTAAAGATCCTAAAATATGTAGTTTGTATCCGTATATTGAAATAGCATTACGTATGTTTTTATGCYGTCCAGTACCAAATTGCTCTGCAGAGGCGCAGAGCGATCCTTAAACCTTAAGTGATCGTACTTAAGATCAACTATGAATGAMGATAGACTCAATTCATTGGCTATTCCAGTGGCGGCGTGACAAGGGTTCTATGAGACCCGGGTCTCATGACTTTTTGGGTGGGTGGGTTACACATTATACCTACGGACGGGTAGGTTTTCTGGGGTGATGGGTGGTCCCTAAGACTGTTTTGGTCTCATGAACGAACAATGCTCACGCCGCCACTGGGCTATTCTAAGTATAGAATCTGAAATCACCGCTTCTCTTAAATATGAAGATGTAATTAAAGAATTTTCCTTGCAGGAGGCTCATCGTAAAAATATTTAATCATTAATTTATTAACAAATATATAATCATTGTTGACWAATCTGGCTTATTTCATCTTTTCTTATTACAGCCTTTACATTTCTATACATATACTCGTATATATTATGTTAATATTATATTTTAAAAATTTTTTTGGCGATGAGTGAAAGGAAACTTTGAGAGAAAAAAAGGGCGCCAAAATTAGTGTACCTAGTGCGCCAAAATCGTTAGGTCTTTCGGCTTCCAGTGTTCGTATTTGACTTCGGAAATCGTCAAACACTCAAACTTTTCAAACCTCAGTGGCCGTATGGCGCGATTATAATATCAAAAAAACGCAACATTGAAAACGAAATATTTCTACGACGCGCGTATTGAGTTTGTCAGAAACATGATAGACGTTTCGATATGGGTTTTTTAAGTATGTATATGATAATTACAAACACATATTATAAGTGATAGGTACACGCACCTATGACGATTCTTTTCAGATTAATATAACCTAGTTACAGTACTACAGTATAAGTCAGTACAGYTAGGTGCCTCTACGCATAGCGTCGGCGTGAGGTTTTTCGGGACTCGGGGCAGATTTTTTTCACGGGAAATCAAAGTTTTTTTCATAGACACAACAAATTTTCTTGGCATATGTCATATGATACTTATTCGTTTGAAATTTTTTTTACTATTTTATACAACACACTTAATAATATTGAGATTTGTAAAGTACTTGAGTAAAAGTATTCAAATACTTTTTAAGTACCTACTCAAATACGTATTCTAAATACATTTGAAAA